CTGGTCCTCCGGCCCGGACCCCGCTCCTCAGCCTCGGCCGCCGCCTCCGAGCGTCTCCAGCCCTTCTCACTCTGTTTTTGTTTTGTTCTACCCAGTAACACGGGGGCGACAGGGCAGCGTTGATTGGCCGAGAGGAAGGGGCAGTCTGGCCAATCGTGACGGCGGAGCTGTGGTTGAAGAGGAAAAAGGGAGGGAAGTGAAACGTGGAAAGTGGGGGAGGGGCGCGGGCTGACGCATGCGCGTGTGCTATCCCGTCTCCTGACTGTGCGGAAGGTTCAACCGGAGCAGACCTGGGAGCCGGGGTGTCGGGGTGGCTGTAGGTGAAGCTGACCGTAAACGTGGGTGGAGCAACTGTACCATGTTGGGGTTTAAGGTGAAGCCGCCTTGACCCAGCTCGCCTATTCCCTTCGTGTGTTTCTTGGGCGACTGGACAAAAGCAAACGCTTGGGGCGTCGTGACGCTGCCTGCCTCTTTTGCCGGACTCCCCTGAGGAATATTCCTCAAGCTCGCCAATTTCTCCCGCGGGTCTTTCTCGTCCACCGCGCCTACTGTGCGCAAACCCCTTGCTTAGTGGTTTCAACGAATGCCCATAACCCTTTGGATTGGAATCGTTCCTATTTCATAAAGAGATTCAAAACTCCTGAAGTCCCCTCGCTGTCCAGTCCACTGGGGTTCAAATGCACACATTCCGGATTTCAAGGCTGGAGTTCAAAACCATGGCTGTAATTTCTGATTGCTAACAGCTTCCTGCGGCTGTTCTCTGACTTCTCGGCTGCGTTCTCTTTGGCTGATCTTTGCCTCGGTCTTTCTAGGTCACTTATCTCCTGAGGTAAAGGCCGTCTAAGTGCCCTCAGGAGACGACTCAGCCACTGTCCCTGGCTGGACTTTCCTACTGTCTGATGGGCAAAAGCTCAGCGGTCGCTTGGTCTGTCCAGAGCTGAACTGCTTCCTCCCCACCCTCCAGCTTCTTAACTGCTTTCTGCCCTGATTTCAAAGCTTCTTGGCCATGTCTCTTCACAACTAGTCCATACACAATCCCCTTACTGTAACTCCACCACTTAGACCATTCACTGCTCCGTGTGCTTCCCTGTCTCCTTGCAGGTCTTTACCATCCCCTTGAATTGCCTCTCCTCTTGCTCCTGTGTCTTCCTGGCGCAATCTTATCCATGCTTCGTGGCCCTCCCTCAGCGTCTCTGTTGTGTCTCATGACTTGATATGATCTGTTTCCCTGTGCCAGTTCCTCAGAGCATTGGCCTTTTGGACCTCTGAAAGCACTGATCACATTCTACCTGGAATTACTTTATCTAAGTCCCTGTCCTGTCCTATCTCTTCTGCTTAACAAGGATGTAACCTTCTTGACGGCAGCATCTGTGTCTCACTCATAGCTATTATAGTGCTTAAGAAGCTGACTTGTGCCCGTGCATTGAATACACCTTGAAGTAAGTTCACAAAGATTGTTAGCGTGTGGTGATCCTCCTCATCTG